CAGATACACCTCATGGGGTCAACTAATCAACAATCAGGAGTCAGTACTAAGGCAAATATTGCCGCATACACCAGTAAGAAAGAAATTAGTAGGGGTGATCAGTTCCAAGGAGGGCGGTTCCCACCCAAGAACCGGGAACCGCCCGTTGGTTCCATGGACCCACCCGAGAACTGGACCACCAGTCCAGTCCGGTTCCCGGATGGATCCATGAAACCGGTGTTTTAGTGTATGCGGGCACGCAAGAATTCTCTGTTCAGCATCAAAACGAAACTACACCAACTAACGACACATTTTCATTCTCCTACTCTTTTCTTCTTCTAACTTTCCTCGAACATGTAAAGAACCAAAAGGATAAATAGAGAAAGCTCAGAAAAGAAACGTTCAGAACTTTCCAACCCTCTTCAAAGAGCCTTGAAAGAAGAAACCCAGAGCAACCAAGACAATGACCACGGTCGCCACTAAATATGTTGGGGTCTCAGCCAGTGATCTCCCTTCTCCTTCCATTTTAACACCAATCCAGAACTCTCTCTTCCCTTTTATTTAAGTCTCAAACACAAATTCAAACCCATTGATACAAGAAAGAGACCCCAACTCCCTTTGACTCGGTTTGGAGGAAGAAAGGTCATAACTTTTAAGAGGTCACATTAATGGTGGGTCGTTGGTGTAAGCGGAGAAGGAATACCGTACAGCGAAAAGAAAAACACATTTAAGATGAGGCGAGACAGTTGAGAGGGCTAGGGTAGAGAGCGTGCATGAGAAGGTGGAGAATAGGGATGTGCTAGAGGTGTATGTGTATATATATATATACCGGTCCGGGTGGGCGGCTGGGCAATTTCGCACCTAGAACCGGGAACTAAACCGGTCCCCACGGGAACTGCCCGTTCGGTTAGGTCCGGTTCGGGGCGGTCCAAGCAGTTCTCGATTCTTTTGCACACCCCTAGAAATTAGTGTCATCTAATCATCATCTACAGCAGCATACCACTAAATCAACTCTAAGTAGATTATACCTCTTGATCAAGAAGAAAGGGAATCTCCAAGCAGGATACAATAATAACGTGTCCACCAATGGCGCTTTCAGGCTATCACTTTCACAAAACAATATTGTGTCCCCCAAAATCAATTTTCATACGCGTATAACACTACTCTCTATTCTTCACGGTGAGTAATACAATGGTAAAGTTAACTGTGGAATTCTAAAACTGCAATCCGATCTAAGGAATTTCAGATATCACTTCCAAGTACAATGTCCTATAACAGGGCAGGCCATTTAAAACATTTTGCATGTTAACTTAACCTCAATCCCACCTATCATTGCTGACTATATGATCGTTAATGATCGTTTGGCAATATTTAGCAGCCTTGAGCCAAATTACTGTAAACAATCCTCGTTTACGAACCACCTCAATCGCATCAATCATTGCTGACTATATGAATCTTTATGGCAATATTTAGCAGCCTTGATCAACAATATAGAATAGTTGAACAATAAAGAGACTCAAAATTCACAAGTTAACAGCATTATACCCAAACCAACCCATCAAGAAATTTTCGAGTTTGAGATCAGTCCATTCCTCATATCTGCAGAGCGTTGGATGCATGAAAAGGAGACAGTAAAAAATCCAAAGGCATTTCTTGTCTAATTTCCTGTAAGTTGTCTTACATCAAGTATAAATAAGAAAACTCAAAATATGACTCAAGTGAATAAAGACCCACTTAAGCTCATTCCAAGAGAATAAACTACGGGGAGAACATGATCTCTATGTCTAGAGTCTAGATCTCACAAGGGAATGACGTGAACATTCCACCATTTAGAGATACAAGCAACTGTTGAATCCAATATACTTAAGCAGGAAAGTCAAAAGTGTAAAGTGGAATAAAAAGGATTAACAGGAGCGGTAGCATTAGACCTGATGTTACGGTCATGGTCCAAAATTGAATCATCCAGTTCTCTGCATATCATGTCATTAGCATCAACAGGTAAAAATCCTCCGACATTTTCAGTTCAAAGATCGAACTCGTCATCACGGAGAGCCATTTCTGCTTCCTTTTCCTCCTCCTCATCAAGAGCAAAGTACTCATTCCTCTCCTGAGGCCTGAACATATAAAACATCACGAAATAGAATGCCAGGCTGGCAATCTCTTCGGCTGCATTGCTCACCCACTGATACTTATATGCGGCTATCGTCCTCAAGGCGAACACCACAATTCGCGTAAAATACAAGTATCCAATCACCACAACATAAAACTGCCTAAACAACTGTAGCTTCGCCAAGTTCCTAGCTGCCTTGCCATCAGTCTTTGAGGTCTCCCTCAACGACCTGATCGACCACACGATAGGGAAAATAATCGCCAGGCAGCAGATTATATCCACCAGCAAGAACACCTGATTCCAAGTCACCCAATCCTTAATGAAAGGCCCCGTCTCTCCAATCACGACCGAGGCCAAATTTGCCAACACCTGAAGGGGAATCACAATCATCAACACCTTCTTCTCCTTCTCCTGCAAGAAGGGCTTCAGAAACGACCAGCCCGTGCCGATCAACACTATGACAGTAAACAACAACACCACGCGAATGAACTGAAACATGTAGAACAACACGTCCCAACCGTGAGGCGTGCCGGTGACCTTGACATAATGCTTATCCTCCGCGGCGCAAAGCAGATTCAGCGCCTTCATCAAGAGCAATCCGGCCATCAAGAGATGGATCCGGTGCGCCGACTGCCTATTGTGATAGCAATAATAGATCCAAAAGCCCAGGAACCCGAAATAAGAAAGCGAGAACACGAAGTAAAGAGAAGGGAGCTGCGTCGAACCGGCGGAGAGGTAATCTTTGGAGCCATCGGTGTCGACATTGAAGAGCTCCGTGCGGACGTCCATGGAGATGCTGGCGTCCGGGACGCAATTGGCGAAGAAGAGTAGGTATTCATTGGGAGAGATGACGGGGTAGGTTTTGTTGAAGGAGGAGGAAGGCGGAGGCGAGAGGTCGCGGAAGTTGAAGAGGATGTATTGGGAGTCGAGGACGCAGAAGTTGGGCTTTTGCTGGAAGTCGAGGGAGATCTGGACGATGGACTCCTCGGAGAGGAGGACGAAGCCGAGGCGAGAGGAGGGGTCGGGGGTGGCGGCGGAGGAGGCGGAGGAGGAGGCGACGCTGACGGCGGAGACGGCGACGGATGCCTTGCCGGTGCGGGTGAAGCCGAACTTCTCGAAGAGGATCATGGGGCGAGAGTCGGAGGAGATGGTTAGGGTTTTGATCTCGGCGGCGGAGGGGGAGATGAGGAGGGAGGTGGTGAGGAGGAGGAGGAGGAAGAGGGGGTGAACCATGCCGCGTCGCTTGGCCTGAGCCATCGGAGAGATCGCAGCGGCGGAGATCGAGCCCTCGGCGGTGGTGGCGGCGGCGGCGGCGGCGGCGGCGGCGGTGGCGGAGGAGTGGCACAAAAATTGGTCAATTTGGTGTTGGGGTTGGAGGGGGGAGGAGATAAAAGGTCGCTGTCTCCGCCGGGCGTGAAATGCAAGGCAGCGACTCGTCCGGCGGGGCGAGCTATGTTTAGCGAATTGCCGGAAATGCCCTCCCTTCCCGAGTCTATTTACGGTCTTCGCGATGAAATTATCGCTTTTTATTTTGTAACTCATATACGAGCACGTCATTAACGACACCGCACGTGTACCCAATATTGTACAGCTTTGACATCACACGAACGTGGATCTCGATACTGAATTTTCTTTTCGCATTTTTCGGGAATTCCACGTGTATATTTCCTTCTACGGAAAATGTCGTAAAGCAATTTCCCGAAAGTCATTCCGGACAAAATTGACCCGCTTTCCTAAAAAGTTTTCAAAGAGTTACGAGCTCTAATTATTCAAATCTAGACTTCTACTTATCTCGTGCCTCACACATACGACCCGACAAAAACCTCTTTGAGTTATCGCATTGAATTTATGACTGATAAATAAATCGATTCAATGTCTTCTCTACTTTTTATACGCGGAAGCTGAGATCATTTAGATCTTATTTTCGTGGTCAAAAAGTACGCGGTTCATTGGATTTTTACAATAGCTTAGATTTTATTCTCATACGTACAATTCCTTCCATCGCCTTTTGTTATCTCGTCCTAGGTTAACAAAATTAGATAAGACAAAACCGGAGTTATCGTACCTATCTTAATGCCCTTTTAGCTTGTACGTGGACCCCGTTAAATGTAATAAGGTGTCAACAACATGCACCCTTAACCAAAGTCCACAGATCTACTGATCTAATAACTCTAGTTAGGTACTCCATTTATGACCTTCTAGAAAACTTTGACAAACGAGGTCCAACCTTCTATTAATAGTCAATTAGTCATTATTAATGGATGCATGTCAGGACTATTAATGGTAATAATTATAGACTAAATAAGAATTAATTTTAAGATTTTTTTTATATATCCATAATGACATGGATAAATAGTTTAAATTTTTTTTTATTTCATTTGTCTCCTATTACATTAGAGTCGATCTATCGGAATATACGTGAATTGCTCGTTTATTTATTTTTTGTGAACTTAATTTGAGTTTTAAATTATGATTGCCGATTTTGTGAACGATCAAAAAGTCCATAATCATAAATTTAGCTTTTAGTTAATTGCACAAACTAAACTAAATCTGTAAAAATAGATGTTATTAATTTTTCTAATGAACTTAGGTATATGTTTCAACACTCCTAAATTTATGCATGTGAATCTTTTTACCCATATTGTCATCTATGTAAGTTTTTTATCTTGAAAATATTTGATAATTTATACAAATCCAACTATCGATTAAACCAAACTATGGGTATGTCTCACATTTAAGGGACTTCAAACTTTTACCATTCAATAAAATTTCTTCTACTCGCACAAAAAAATAAACGACAAAAATGTCAAGTCTTTTCTCGCTGACCAACTCACTACAGTTATGTAGAATTTTCGTCCTCAACTTCTGATATCATTCCCACTTCTTATCATCATTTTCAAGAAGATTTAGATTTACAGCACAATAGCCAAATTCATTAATGATCACGAACCTAACTCTAGGAACATCAATTGAGAGGGAAGTGGCCACTCATTGCCAGAAAAACCCTGCATCTCATACTGCAGATCATCTTCTTATCAACTTCTACAGTCGATATCTTCTGCAAAGAAGTGGTAGAGAGCAGGTTATTCTACAAAGCCTCCGATTCATATGTACAAACAACAGTTCTAGGTTAATGTTCCCTATCTCCGGTGTCGGCATCGGCGTCGGACTTGTCAGCAGATAGTCTCAGAGAGCATAAACTTTCTTAAACTCGCTGTTCAAAATTTCTGAATCTGACATCATCATCGACATCGACAACGACCTCGACCTACTACTCATCGACGACCTCCGGATACTCCTCAATTTATAAGCCTCTACCCGGTGCATGATCACCCAATAGCACATCGTCCCTAAAGTCGTTATCATGATCACGGCTCCGACGACAGTCACTCCCACTGCCAACCCCCAATCGCGCTTCCCCACCACCACGTAGCACAGCGCGAGGAATGCCACCGACACCATCACGCACGCCAACCACATCAACTTGTTGATGACCGTCATCATTTGCTTCTTCGCTTTCCGCTCTATGACCACCACCGAGGTCTGAACCACCACGACTGCCAGAGATATGAAGAGCGCGATGGAATCGAATATGAAGAAGACGATGAATTCGGGTTTCGGAGCAATGTTTGCTTCCCCGAGAGAGTGCCCTGCCGGGACATTCTTGGGGTCATCAGCATACTGGCCCGGCACACTGAAGATGGCGGCAAAGGCCACTGTGGCAATCAGGACAGCCACGACCGTTGTGGAGTTGATGGCGTTGTTGAGGCCCTCCGAGTGCATCTTGTTGATCCGCTTGGCGATCCCCTGCACTCGTTTCCTCGTTTGTCTAGTGTGCTCCAGCTGGTCATGGACCTCGTGCTTTATGTCGCTCACAGTTTGCTTCAACTCCCGGGCCCCGGTCGGTGTTGGTGGATTGATAGATTTAGCACTAGGAATGCCGTGTTCCCGCAGGACGGCAGCAATTTCGGATTGGCCAGCTTTCTCGGCAGTGTCCAGGGCAGTCTCCCCAGATTTGTTAACCGCTGTTTTGTCGAGGTCTGAGTGATTCAAAAGCTTAGAGAGGATCTGCAAGAGTAGCAGCAGCAGCACATGCGTTAATATAAGATAGAACTCGACCGAGGCAATGGAATACATTATCCCGTCCATTTCATGCTTTTACGCTTCATGAAAACCCAAAAAATAAAATAATTTTATAGTTAGCCTGCCTAAAGCCAAGACGCTTATTTAACAGATGCTAGTCTCTCCATTGCTCAAGATGGCAACCTACAGGACGCCTACAACAGATTTGGAAGCAAGTCTGCTCGTAGCATACAATCCCAGGATTATACAAAAGCCAACCCGTGCTATGTTATTCTGCACAGAAGAAAGATTCTCGAAATAGCTATTTCGGAGCACCTTCTATGCAATAGGGAATTTAAACAGCACAACCATACCCATCCCATGATTTCCAAAAGGCTGTGAGTTATAGTTTTTTTTTTTTGGTAAGTTTTTGTTTTTTTTTGGTAATCTGTGAGTTATAGTTTGTATCATGCGAATGCTAAATTTTGATAGACACATATCTCTTTGCAAAAATTTGCAGCTTCAAGGCATTGACACGAGTAGCTCCATGATTATGGCCATCAAACAAATACGATTTCTTTCTAAGACATCCTCCTTCCATGTTTTATGAAAGCACTTAGTTTGTAAACCATGAACATAGCTATAAACTGCAAAGCAAGCCAGAGGCACTTCTTAGACAATTGACAAGGCTCAGTTCCAAACTTTAGTTAGTTATTTGTAAAGCTACCTTGACCAGTTTGAGACACCAGAAAGCATGATAGGGGTTTTTTTTAATCTTTTTAAGCACCTTGAAGAGATCTGAGCAGTAAATTCATCTAACCGTAGTTGCTCAACATATTTTGGTTAGTTTTCCAGTAAAAGAGATACAGAAAAAAGAGTGGGCAAGAGTTTTTATACCTGAGCTCGAGCCTTTCGTGTTGCTATATGCAACGCAGTATTCCCCTTATTATCAACCATGTTAAGTATAGAAGGACCCAAAATCATGAGCTCCTCAACAAGATCCGTACTCTGTCCCTTGACTGCCATGTGAAGAGCCGTTTGGCGCTTCTTATCACACATGGTTGCTAACCCTGGTTCTTTGCTTAGAAGGACCTTCACAACCTCCAAATGCCCATTTCTTGCTGCTGAATGCAAGGCCGTCTTCCCATTATTTCTTGCTATCGGGGCTAGGTTTCCACATTCCTCCAAGAGGAAAGTCACCACTTCAAAGTGGCCTTGTGCAGCAGCAGTGTGCAGCGCCGTGGTATTAGTAGAGTCAGAGGTCATCGAAAGCTCGTGACTCTTCTCCATAAGAATCTTCAACACATCTGCAAAAGGAAGAAACGATAAATATCAACACCGAAGTTCCACTTTCATAAATTTGAACATCCAATGATGGCAGAGCAAAACATATTCCATATGAACCAAAAATTATTGCTTTATACCAAAGCTATTTCTTCTTCTTTTTCCCTTAACTAATTCATTATACATGGAGAACGCAAAAGATTTCCACACAGAGACGACCAAACAACTTTCATCAGACACTGCTGATGTTTAAAACAGAACCCATATTTTCCTTCGATGAGTGGCCTTTGAGCCAAGGGAATACAGTAATCATAGACTAAAAGCACAGCCGACGAGAGCCTCACCCAAGTCTCCTTGCTTTGCAGCTATGTGAAAAGCATCATATCCATTCTTTGCCTTGATTCCAGCTGAACCGATATCATAGTACCCCATCAACTCCCTCACCAGATCAACACGGCCACACTCAGCAGCAACATACAGTATGGTTTCACCAGATTGATTCTGCTTGGTCAACAAGCCCTTCAATTCCATCTCTCCAGACTCGGATAGCGCGCTCAACAAGGACTCTGAATCCCCAGCTCTCGCTGCCAAATGCAACGGAGTGTCGTCTCGCTTCACCGTCAACTGTTTGGCCATCTTCTTCCTGGGGAAGCTCTTTTGCCTCTCCAGTGCTTCCATCACAGTTAGCACTCTTGACTCTGATACAGCACCAGTGGAAACCAAGAAACCCCTCTCTCCTTGCCTTCTATAGATATTAGATTCTTGATTGTTTTACATGGTAAGTGGAACTCTGAACTATTTGTCAAACCCAGAACAAATCATTTTTCCGTGTTTCTTTATGCAGCAATTAATAAGACCAAAAAGAAACCTGGGATTTGGATTACTTGAACACCCAAATGATGCCCTCACGTATTCTGCACCCAAGGAAAAAAGGACTAAATCGATGAATACTCAGAATACATGCTTATGAGAGATGGAACAAAGACAAGGCAAGCTCATCTCTACTTTGAGATGAGCTTGTACAATAAATTAGTGGAGAGAGAGAGAGAGAGAGATTTGTAATTGACATGACCATTATTGAAGTTGAACAAAGCAGCATGATGTGAATCTAGTAAAAAATTAGACAGTCAAAGGTTCATCTGACCTTTTGAACACAGAAAGTCTCTCTCTTTCTCCCCCCCTATCTTCAATCTAGAAGCAGAAGAAGTGGGTGGAGGGAGAGAAAAACAAGAAACCGATCTTAATCATTGGGGGGGTTGAAGACGAAGAACCCACACAACTGTGGCATCCAAGACTTTCTCAACCAGCAGGGCAAATAGAAAGGTAACAGCAAGTCTGGTGAGTCGCGAGTAAGAGCTCAGTTGGGTCGAACAGCTATGAAAATATGGGCATTTTTCAAATAATTAACGACGATTGAACAAGAAAGATGATGAAGGAGCACAAGAAGATGAAGGAGAAGAGAGAGAGAGTGGGAGATAAGGGACAAGAATGGGAAGAAAAACAGACAGAGACGCAAGCGGAAACGTGCTCTTCTTGTCGCTTGCGGAATAATTTTAACGCGGTCACACGTTGCCACGCAAGGTAGCCACCAAAAGGGGGCGGGGGACCCACCACTCCGATGATCTTTTTGTCCGAGATCTAACGGTCGATTCTCTTCTGTTGCGGCACTGGTGCTGACCCACCGCATGATCAAGATTCGCCACGTTAATGCAAAGTTGGCATATCATCGTCGAAATTTTAGAGGTTAAATTCTACGATCCGCTTTGTCAAATTCGAGATACGATCTCGAGAGAGTCCTTGAAAAGCCATGTTTTTATCTGGCTGCACAAAAACCACTTAAAACAAATAATTACATCCGGTTTCCATGGTCCATAAGCAATGAATAATTTAGTCATCAAAAGGAGAAGAGTTGACCATACTAAGAGACCTCTTAGTTAGAATGAGGACATAAGGAAGGTGCACCAAAATATTATTTAACGGCTGACTTTGATTTACTCTCAAATTTGCTCCTCTTCTTGATGTTACCCAATTATAGTGAGGATGACGTTTTATTGACATTTTTATAGCTTATGGACCACCGAATACTCCTAATGAACGAACAGCTACAAATATAAAGGTAATAGAAAAGCCTGTCGATAAACGCGAATATTAATAACTGGCATGACGCCGATGTAAAGATAAGTGTTGATCGATTGGATTATCCATAGGATATTGAGGGGTAAGGAAACTCGTCGAAGATTATGAATATCAATGACCAAGTATTGTCATCGATATAGGGTGACGATTGATCGGCGAATGACACTTAATAGAATCATGATCATGGAGCCGAAAACCAACTCAATATTAGAATATTAACCGCTTAGAAGCGGTTAACATTGTGTAATAGGCTGTATAAGCCGTCGTGTTGGATCATCTATAGAATGCTTTCCCCCGATTAACAGCACAAAACAATGTATCTTTCAAATTATCGATACAACCTTCCAGTTCTTGTACTTACCTTTCTTCGGAGTAATTTGCGCCGGTTCTTATTTTGATGACGCTTAAAACGTCATGTCCGAATTTGCCATGGAAACCGATCCAAATAAGAAATGGAGAACCGACCGACGGCGAAAGATATTTCGTCGAGCGGAACCAATTTCCGGCAAAACAAAATCTACTTAAAAAGAAAAAACCGATCGATATCCTCTTATCAATTACTTTGCGAAATGGTTCATTTTCTAAAAAAACTAGGTACAACATAAAAACTTTCCTAATCAAAACGAGCACCCCGAAATGGTCGGTCCGGAACAACGTCGAAACCGGAATGGCGATGCGCGGGAGGAGCGCCAAAGTCAGCAGTGGATGTCGCAGTCGTTGGTGGTCGACAGCGACCTCGGTTTGACCGAGTCTGAGGCTGAGGCGGCCCCAATTATCAAATACGGGGGTTTCAAGGACGGCAACCACGATCGGCTCGCGCGGTCCGCGACAAAAGGTATCGCCCCCCGCGTTTCTTTACTACACGTTCACACTTGGGAAACCGTCCGAGCCAGTGGTATCGCATCCCACGCGGTAAGCAAGCAGGCCCCGCCAAGCTAAATAGAATAGAATAGAATAGAATGATATTATTGCCGCGAATTACTGCAGGCACGTGAATTTCCGTCGGTAAAAGAAAAGGTGTAATATTACGAAAGACCCACCTTTCGTTAGTTTCCGTTAAATTTTACCGTCAAATTGCTGAGGCAGTTGATGGACGTACGAATTTGATGTTTTACCCTCCGTTTGTTACAGGTATACCACTTTCGTGATCTTACTCCAATTTAACGAAAATTAATTGATGGTAAATTTGTCACAAATGTACCAATTTGGATTTTTTTGGTGGTTAAAAGATTAGTTTGAGATAAAGTTATCACGGGTGTACTAGTTTAAGGTTTTCGGTGGTCAAAAAATTAGTTCGAGATAAATTTATCGCAGATGTACCAATTTGAGGTTTTTTGTTGTATTAATTTTAAAAGAAAAAATATAAAAAAGATATGAAATTCGATTAATTAAGTGAAGTTTACTAATTAGGCCACCGAAATTGAATTTCAGTCTCCAAGTGATCGATCGTACAAATGCGGTGTCATTACTAGCCACGTAGGTTCCGCCGAAACCTTGGCTCGATTTCGATCGAATTGCCTTGTGAGCATTCTGAAGAGTCGCAAATCAGGCGTGCCATTTTGGTTGTCTGTTGACCTTACGTGCAGGAAATTAAAATTCAATCATAATCACGATACGTTAAAGAGAAGGGAGCAAAAAAGGATTCCACGTAATTGGAAAAGAAACTCCATTCACTTCGCATAGATTTGCAATCGACGGAAAAATCTCGCAACACATGAGTTGCCTAGAGAGTAATTTTAAGGCAAAAGCGACTGAAAGTCGCACATTAGATCACCATGACACAATTACCCTCTGTTAAGGTTCATCAATCTGCCTACATGGACACCGGAAAGCAAAGGGTGACGCCATGTGGCTTAAGTAAAATAAAAACGATATTATTTTGCTGAAAAATTATTTGACAGAACTTTCACGGAAAGTAAATGCATCACGTATGTATAAGTTGTGGGATTTTTTATGTCACAAGAAAAAATTTATAGTAAATATGCCACGGTAGGCATTGTTTGAGATTTTGGATATGACAAAAAAAGTTCAAGGTAAATGGGACACAATAATTATAATTTGGGATTTTTTGTGACTTTTTCCTTTTTCTATATAAAAACTTGCTATCACAACATAAAATAAGAAAATGTGGTGCATGGTCAGTTGTAACATGACATATTGTTGACACGAACTACTACAAAAAAATTATGGAAAGTACACCAAATCATCTAGTTGTTATTGCAACTTTTTTTTATATTTTGCATTCACCAAACACAACAGAAATCCAAGACTAATTGCCTTTTCTTTGGAAAAACCACTCCAAATCTCTCGATCTCCCACGTCTAGGAATCTTCACACACATGGTAATCTCTCCACCGTGCACCCACCATCACCGGCCACCACCAGCAGCCACCCATCCTTCTTCCAGCGCGACCCTGATGCCGATGCTGCCCTCTGCCCCCGAGTGGACTCCTCTCTCTCTCTCTCTGTGACGACCATAGTGACCCTATCGTGGTCGTCGATCGACATGGATCTCAGCTACCGTGGATAACCTCGGTTTAAGATCTCAAGGTCGTCCATGGCTTCCAAGGCCTCGGTTTAAGGATTGCAGAAGATGCAACGACCTCAGAGCACCATGAAGACCTCAAATTTGAGGTCTTCATGGTGCTCTGTGCCCCATGGAGAGAGGGGTGGGGGTTACCAGCGGAAGGCAGCGCGATGGTGGCCAAACTAGGGTTTGGACACTGGGTATAAAGTTTCTTGGTGGCTGGACATATGAAATTGGCAGTGGGAAAGATATTTTGGGAAAGAAAAGTGGCGACTTGGATAACGGTTGGAACTTGGCCTTCAATTACAAGAGTGAGGATGTAAAGTTGTGATTTTGAAAGCGAAGGATACGATGTAACAAGTGTATGAAATATGGGAATGGTTAATTGAATTTTTCTCTGGACCACTCCCCTTTTCTTCCCGTTCAAACCTCCCGCGTCAAAAAGATGAGATGATCAATCTCTTCCCCTTGACTTCTCCTTCCTTCTCCTCTTTTCCCATTGACTCGGTTCGCTTCGCAAAAAAAAAATTTTAAAATTTCTTTTTTCTAATTTTGATTGTTTATAACGCTTAGAAAAATAAGTAAACGGGAGATATTTTCGTTCTCGATAAACAATTATTTGCTTAATTTTTTGTTAATAATGAAAATTGTGTTCCTTGGCTCATTTTTTTAAGCCATAAAAACGATTGAACTTGAGAAGATATTTTAATTCGAATTACTTATCTTCTAGAGAATGTACGGAGCTAAGTGGAGTCCACTTCAATTAGCAAATCACGCGTAATTTTACATGTACCAATCCGATCCTGCATCAACTGATCACCCTCGTGTACCACGGGTCATATGAATTTGTCCGCATCAAAAAATGTCTTAGCGTTCGATAGTCGACTTGTTTAAGCAAAAGGCTGAATCAGATGCGGCAGAGGAAAAATTTGCTAAGCGTTGAAGGCTTTTAGTCGGCGGAGTCAATTTGGTCGACGAGAAAATTACTTTTAGTCGACGGAGTATGTGAACGAAAAATAACCAAGTCTTGGAGGAGAATGTCAACATATTAAATGAAGATCGACCGAAGCAATGAGAAGACCATGATTGAAGTATCGCCAAAAGCATAAGATTGAAATAACTGTGTAAGCATCGAAGCCGATGATTTCGGATTCGTCCATTAGAGGGGCATTTGCAAAGGAGTAAATTCAACGCAGCCATCAAGTAGCGGAGCAAAGAAGCCCGCGAACAACTGATAATGGCAAATGTGGAGAATGTTATAATATTTAAATAATAAATCATGTCTTCATTTACCAGCTCAAGCTTTTATACATTTAGCAGTAATCCCACAAAATCTCATATGGTATCAGAGCATGATGTCGTTAGTTCAAATCTTCTAAGCCCGTATCTCAAAGAGAAGACGCAACCGTTAAGTAGTGGCATCAAAGATCTCGAAAACGATCATCAAGATCTCATAAGTAAAGATGAACAAGAAGATAATGGTAATTGTGAAAGAGCAGTGGAGTCGAATATTGCTAAGCAATTATTTGTAAATAGGAATTGCTTAATTGTAGGAATCACGTGACAAGCGCTTAGTTTCCTTGTAACTATTGCAAACCGTTGAAGTAGGTTTGAATGCTTTGAATACCAGTTTGTAAAAGAAACCACTAATCAATCAAAGAACACCAATTATTCAATTTTATCTTCTCGTTCATCTTTACATTTCTAGTTCCTGTACATGGTTGGACACGATTGTCTCCAACCTTAGTACTTTTAATTTTCATGTCGTTTTGTTTCCTATCCGAAGATCAATAAATGACCATTCACAACATTTGTCGATTTATTCATCGATTCACACTTCAAAAGATATTTCGTCAACACTTTTCGGTGAAACAAAATTATATTTTTTTGGTCTAACTAACTTAATTTTAGACACAGTCTTATTATGCTGTGATTGTTTCTATCGTTCACATTGAAATGTTACTGTAGCAATCAAGAAGCAGGCATTGACAATTTGATATGGCAATCTGACTGGGAAAGTTGGGCATTTTTTAACCAATAAAATGATGGGAACATCACTCTCAGCTACTTGCTAAAATTTCCACGTGAAACGACACTGCCCGCAAATTATGACTTAGGCATCTAGAAAAATGCACAAACTTTGTCGGATGTCATGTCATAAACAGTTGAATATGCAGCTATTCTCGTTCATTACAGGAACAAAAAAATTAGTGTCACCAACAAAAATTAGAATTATGCAAGGGAAGTGCTTAAATGTACTAGATAGTGATTTGCGGAAAAAAATTATAGTGTTTCTCCGTTTATTTCACGAAAAATAAATAATTTAAAAAAAAATTTCTAAAAAATGATGTTTGTACTACTTAAAATAATTAATCAATAAAAAATACTTTTATTATCGACAACAATTCATGACTAAACATTTTCATGAACAATAAAAAATTTTCGATTTATTTATCTTTATTAGCGATACAAGCGATTATTTTTTGGCAAAAATTTTCAACTATGACCTTTAGTTTATTTGTCATCCCCACTCATTTGCCTTTTATTGAGTCTAAAACTGTGAAAACATATAAAAAAAAATATGTTCAAAAATATTCTGAGAAAAGATAGCTTATTTGGAAAGTAATTATAGTGATGCAATCAAGAAATTCTGTTTATTGTCTGATTTGATTGACATTTAAAGTAAAATACAACAAGAGACCTATTTTTAGTATTTTATAACTAGAATATTTGTAATTTGAATTTTAGCTTACTCTTTTTTTCCTGGTCTTAGAGGTATACCTTAGTCATGTCGCGGCGTAAAGTGGCAATGGAATATTTCCTGATTACGAAACCTAAACACACACTTTGCAAACGACCAATGCCTTTACATGTGCACCAAAATGTTCCATTACCCTAGTTTTCTTGAAATTGATAGGTGACGACTCCATTGAAATTATTTTTATTTCAAAACCCCAAGCTTTCCCAATATTGTCAAAACCTTCTTTCGTTTTATCACACCGTAGCTGCACTCCTAGCCCGAACCTCAATTTTGAGAAAGAGGCCACTATATCGACTTACCAATTTCTTATCAATCAAGTTATTAACTAGTTCTGGATTGCCATCTCTTATTTGAATTAGTTACTAATGCTATCAACTTTTCTATTTTAAGGCAACCTAATCGGGAAAAAGTTGGTAAGTCGCTCAAATAAAAGTTGGTTATTTCATATAATAATTGATAAATTTAAAGAAAGTAAATAAAAGCTGGTAAAAGACAAGAAAAAAGTTTTTTTTGGGACTGAGATAAGATATGTTGGTAATTTGTAAAAATAAATCCAATGTACGTTGACTAATTAAAATAAGCATCAGTAATGCAAAACTAGTACGTAACTTAATGTAGAAAAGAGTCAGTAACCAAAGAACAAAGTGGCAACTGAATCGAAAAATTGGTAAATTTTTTTATTAAAAAAAAAGAAGCAAATCTGGGAAGACAGTACCGATATTTCCAATTAACAATGGTGCAATTATGACCACAAAAAACTTTTTCAAAGAATGGTGGACGAGTTTGGAAATCATAAAAGGTTCTACTATAGAATCTTTTATTTTTGTATTATGACATTATCAATACAATTACCAAAACAATCGTGGCCTCGTATAATTAAAAGTTAATATTTTTATTATATTACGAAATATCATGACTTCTTAAATTATAAAAATAATTCATTTTTTACAACTTTTTGCACTTGCTCATGGCAAAGCGGCCATAAGTCTATGTAAAAAATCGTAAAACGCATAAAAGAATCACATTTGCACTTAATTACAACTAAACATTACGACATTGGAAATTATATAGATGATTTTAAAACATTTTTCTTTTAAGTTTCGGTGGGCTGTAGATTAGAAATTTGAGGTTTGGGGCATTTTGAACTTGAGCACGATTAGATGTACTATGCACTTGTACAATGTCGGAAAGCTGAAAATCCATATTCTACGACGTTCTATGCTTGATTATGACGATCTACTATATAATATTTTTGTAAATCATAAAAGAAAATTGAGTATGTGACGGTTCCGTCGCTTTTAATGGAGTAATAGAGCCGTCTTCCCCTTATAATTTCTCCTTGAAACTTGGTAACTCGATTATCCTGATATCAAGGGGAAACGAATTTTGATGTATGTTCAAAATTGCAGCACGAATTTTCACCCATATTTACAACGATAAGAGAAGTCTTTTCATGAGCAGTAAGGGATGGTAGCATTTTCAAATAATCGAAAAATCAGTACGCACATCAACGGGACAAATTTGCAAGGACCTTCCTCAATGAGATCTCGGATGCCACCAGCGAGGCGACGGCGACGGCGAAGAAGCCGAAACTGCCGGTGACGGCCATGACGATGGCTCGCTACCTGAATACGCCGGTTCCGAAAAGAGACTGGCCAGGTAATACCCCACGTCCTCCGGCGTATATTTGATCGAGATCGCCCCGCTGGTTTCGCCTCCGACGGTGAGCCAGTGCGCGTCGTAGAACTCCCCGTACGCCCGAACCACCTTCCTCTCCAGCGACGCCCTCATCTCTTCTCGGAGCTTCGGGTCCGGCACCACCCTCGTGCCCTCCCTCCGGCAGGCCTCCTCGAACCTCGCGTTGAACCGCCGGAACCGTTCGGTCGCCTCCGCCGGCGAGATTGCCGCCCTCGGGTCCTCCGGCAGCGACGCCGCCACCTCGCCCCATGCGACCCGCTCGTGGTTCTCGGCGAACTGCCTCAGCTTCCTCGCGTACCTCGCCACCCACTCCTCGCCAAGCAGGTACCGCAAGTTCGACGCTTGCACCTTCGATACGATGTGTTGCAAATTGTTCGCGAGGAACAGGTACGAGACGGAGATGTCCCGGTAGTGCTCCGCCTTGCCGTTGAGCTTGCAGAGGAGGACAAGGATCAGCCACGCCATTTGCAGGGAGATCGCCGGCGCCGGAGCCTCGTCCGAGTCTGATCCGTCGAAGTAATCTTCCGGCAGTGAAGGCTTCGCCGGCGGCGAGCAGTCTGTGACGATGTCGGCGAGGGTGTCGCCGTAGTCGGCGAGGCGACAGAGGTGGTCCATGGTGTAGACCGTCAGGCGGTGGACTCCTCCGCCCGCGGCAACGGATTTGGAGGAGTCCCTGTGGATCGTCGACTTGAACTCGGTCAACATAGCCTGCACCGACTCGCCGAGCCGGACTAGCGACGCAAGAGCCTCCGACCGGACTCCAGAGGTCGAATCGAACGCGAACATCAATTCGATCTCGAGCCAGTTCTCGGAGATCGCCGCGTACATGTCGAGCAGGCAGAATATCATGTCCGGCGACTTCTTGCTCCTCCTCGCGACGATTGCTGGGAATTTAAAGAGACGAGTGGCGCCATCTCCGCATATTTCCGCGAAGCACAACTCGCCAATGGAATCGGAGGCGAAGAAAGAGTGGTCGCAGAGAATTCTCTCTCCGGCAAAGAGGTTCATCGCCGCCTTCACCGCATCTAACCAACACTTCACCTTCACCTCCAGAACCTCCCAACCCATGGCGTTCACCTGCGAAGCGCTGAATTGCTCGACCCCGAGACGACGAATCGCGTTGTCGACGATCGATTTCCGGACGACTGTGTATATGGCAATGCACTCCTTGGAGTAGCCCGAAGACATCATGCACTCCACAATGAATCTCAAATCCGTCATCGCCATCGAAGGCGGCGGCAGCCCTTCACCGCCAGAGTCGCCATCGTCCTCGCAAATCGAGCCAGTCGATCTCACGGAAACTGACTCCGGGTCCAAGCAGGCACCATCCGCGGAGAGCACGCGGTACAGCTCCTTCTGGAGCCTCTTCATCGCAATCTGCATCGAGCTCTGCCCCTGCAAGAGCATCTCAGAACCGGAGTTCTCGGCCACCAGCGAGTGCATGGCCTTTCGGAGGTCGTGCACGCACTGCAGGAACCGCAGGGCCTCCGCTCTGTCCTCCATGAAGATGGAGCCGGCTCCTCCGGCGCGAGGGGACGGCGACTCCGGGTCCCACTTCGCGATCGCCGCCGCCGAGGACTCGACCATCCCCTCGGCGGACGAGCCGGGGAGGCCGCGAGGGACTGCCGGGGCGGCGCGAGGGGTTCTCGAAGGAGGCGGCACGCGGGAGCGAAAGCAGAGACTCCTCATCGCCTTCGCGCACGTTCAGCCCGCCCAACGCAAAGATCGGGAGCTGTGCTCTTCTGGGTCCGTCGGGAGAAGTCGCGCCGGAGAGAAACCGCCGCCGTGCACGTTGGACTTTTCATCGACTCTGGAAAAAACTCATCGGCTTCATATGATTTGGGGGGCCATCGACGAACCAAGAAGAACGGCGTTGCCCCGGGGAAAATTCCATGTTCATGGAAGTTTCTCTTCTTCCTGTGTCTGAACCGTCACGTCGGAAAGACTTGGCGGGACTCGGGAGTCAGTGGATGCATGAGAAGGATGTCTCACGCGTTTATTCAAAAGGAACACGAGATTGATATTCAAACTGTAAATAGAGAAGGGCGGAAAACGATGCCCGGCGTCACTTTGAACGCAGAATGGTAAGAATTAGATGGGCCGTCGCGCCCGTCGAAACTATGCTAGCATGTATTATCCATCCCCGTTCTACGTGGTAAGATCAAATCCACAATATTTTCGGTCTACGATATAGCTTTATATTGCTAAATTGACTTCGGAAGAATAGTGAGATTTATTCACCCTACTCATCCCCCACCAGCACATATACAATTTGTAACAAAATCAATGAAACATGCTAATCGAAGTGCCAAAATAAAAGATGTGCTTAGGGATCGTAACGGAAAACATTTATAGTAATACTCGATTCCAAACAAAAAGTAGTGGAGAAAAGATTGGATTTTGGATCGTCCAAAGGTGAGATCGAAATGGAACTCGTATGAAAATAGAAAGGGTGGTCAGATATGTTGCGGAAACATGCAATATACATTTTGTGTTTTTAAAGGTTTTTTTTTTGTTGCCAAAAATGCTTATCTAGAATTTCCTTGATGGTATTTTTTTTTTTCAAATAGTTTGAGCTCGACATGACAAAATAGTCGAATAGCTCGAGTTTGAACTACTCGAAATCAGACTAATCGATCTCGAATAGGCATTGCACTAAAGCTCCGGCAACTTGCGAGTGGCTTGACTAAGTTTCACACCATCCTCTGCAAAAACGCTCATCGGCAAGGCCCCGAAGACCTCCGCTGGCGAGGGCTCTATGGCATTTTTTTTTAAGCTTTGGGTTTCTTTTAATGAAATTTTAGTTTTTTTATTTTTTAATCTAAATTATGTAACATTTGGGGAATAAAATAATTTAAAAATGCCACATAGGATAGAGACAATAATAATAAAAAAAAAATGTCACGTCAGTATTTTCCGTTAAGCAAATTGATGGGGTTAACGAAATGACTTGATTGCACTAATTCAGTAATTTGACATGTTTTAAGACTCAATCACTATTTCGCAATAAATTTTAGGATTTCTTGTACATTCATCCCAACTCTAAAATTGAACTGCGTATCGTATGTGAAAACGTACCATGAAAACTAAAGATGCTTACACCCCTCAAACGGGTGCGTCGGGTCAACAACAGTCCGACCCAAATTGATCCATATGGATCGTTTTGACCCCTTTCCATGCAATGCAAATTTAGAGTGTGTTTGTTTCTGGAAAAGTATTTTTCGGGAATTCGTTTTCCGGACTTTCACCCATTTGGTTCACCGAAAATGATTAGTCAAACGAAAACACTTTCCGATCATGGAAAACATTCATGTATAAAATTAGGAAAGTGAATTCCCTAGTCTAAGAAGGTGAAAACACTTTCCGGAATTGCTTCCCTTTACTTTTTTAATATTTTATTCTTTTTTTTAAATAAAAATATTTAAAAATTCGAAATTTTTTTTTTTGCCTTAGATAAAATCATGGGATTGTAATCATATTCCAAATGAGATCCAATCACCAGAAAATATTTTCAATCTCATAGCACCAAATAAAGGAAAACTAACTATTTTCAATCATATTATTTTGTACTTTACCATTCCAAACCCATTTGTGACTTATTTAGCGAATATAACTAAAATCGTATTACAACCTAACTCACCAAATATGAGTTAGGAATGGGTTTATGACCCATTTTTACAGGTGTGGATGGGAGATGAAGAGAGATGGGCTCAGCCTCTTTTTTGTCGGATGGGCTATTTTTCATTACAGGCTTGCCTTCCTTAATGGGTCTAGTTATGATAATTGGGCTGATGGGTCTGATCAGGTGATTGGGCTGAAGCTAATAGGTTTTACATCTGGGCTGCGTCGGAACAAATTCAGTGATGGGCTTGGACGCAAGTGATGAGCGAATCGGAGTGAATAGGGCCTCCGCTTATCTCTTCTTCTTCTTCTTCTTCTTTTTAGTTGTATTTTTGTTATTTTGTCTGTTTTTTTTTTTTTTATCGTTTATACTTTGTATCAATGACAGTTGAGTGCTCACCCGAATTTGTTCCCACGGCGATATTCCTGCATCAATGACAAGCTTTGATGACTTTTTTTATCAGTGGAGTCTTGCTATACATCATTGTAATTTCACAGAATGACTTTTATCGGGCCGACAGTTCCATGTGTGCACGACGAATGCACGCACGTTCTCCTCGCTTCATTTTGTTTTGGTTCAATGTGAAGAAGCGAGTGCTTATGCTTGTAGACGAGTAATTTGGCGTCCCACTAAAATTGCCAGATTAAAAGCAAGAATCAGAACCATGACCTCAAGAAGAAGCTCGGTTCCCTCCTTGGCAAACAGGGGCCTTGCTGAAATTCTTGGAGGGATAGTTGGCGGTGACGCCGCCGACCTCAAAGACCAAGTTCTCGATGCTCAACTTGATTCCGGTGATTGACCGCCACATGAAAAAGGCCCCGACTCGGATTCCCTCTAGCTCGGCCATTCGACCCCTCACGATCCTGCCCGCGCTCTTCTCCAAGTAGGCGGCGGGGGATGGTGGTGGAGTGAAGTGAAGTCGTGAGTCATGGAGTCAGTGAAGTGAAGAACATAAAGAAGAAAGAAGAAAGCCGTGACCGCGTGAACCGTACTTTTTATTATAATCTAGATTAAGTTATGAACTCATTTACAACCTATTTGTTTTAACATTTCTATTTGTTTTAACCTTTCTATTTTGTAAACTCATTATGAATGGCCCACGAAATTTGATGTGACCTATTTATGACTTATTTTAAATAATTTTAGGTTATTAAATGGGTTTTAAACCCATTTTGACTAGTTCAATGCTTACAAAATTTCTCATTCTTTCCACGTAAAAGCAATCTCTGGTGTGCCAAAGCCATCATCCTTCATCCTGGCTGTAAGCCATTAATCTCCCCGTTCAAAGAGAGATGGAAAAAGCAGATCGATCAAAGTCAAAATGCTGGAACTTCGCGCCAACCACGACGCATCGTTCCTATACAATTTTCAATAACGATCTCATCTTCTTGCCATGGACAACATCGACGATAGGCTTGGCCGACGTGTAAATATGCATCATATCATCGTCGTCGTTCTCTTCGAATAATTACGCCACTTCTCGAAAAGACGAGGAGGCTTCTCTTTCTTCGCACCGTCCTCGTTCTTGTCGGCCATCTCCGCCTTAACGTGTAAATCCTCATTTTTCACTGTGGATTGTTCATTGGGCTAAAAGCCCAGCCCATTTGTCTGTACTAACGTGGGCCAATAAAAAACTCTGCGAAGAAAGATTTGATGGAAAAGTAGAAGCTAGGACGAGTCCCACATCGGCCATGAACACATATGCACCTCAGTTTATATTGTCCAACCGATATGAAAGAGCTCGTCTCTTTGGAGACATCCGATAAAATTGGAACGATACAGAGAAGATTAGCATGGCCCCTGCGCAAGGATGACACGCACAAATCGAGAAATGGTCCAAATTTTTTTGTATTTTTTTTGCCAAAATTTATTACGTGTACCTTTTCTTGATTAATCCCAGTATACTCTCTAATTACAATTATGAAAAGCCCAGATCTTACTTTAACAGAACAGCAATACCAATCTCCCAAAGTATTGTGTATTAGGATTGATCCTGTGTTTTTGTACTGTTTTGCCAAAATTTATTACGTGTACCTTTTCTTGATTAATCCCAGTATACTCTCTAATTACAATTATGAAAAGCCCAGATCTTACTTTAACAGAACAGCAATACCAATCTCCCAAAGTGTTGTGTATTGGGAATGATCCTGTGTTCCTAATGTCTGACAAAAAGAATTGATAAAGTGTTATGTCATAGTAATACACGGATAGCGAAAGAGCACTCACTGGACTTCAGGTAGTATCAACACCACGCATGCACGCAGAACGGCTTGTCCACATGCATCGAGTACAGCTCCATCGATAGGATGGCGAGCTTCATCCTCAAGTTCAAACAGAGTAGTGGGATTGAACACGAGATCTACCACGTCTAAATTCAAGCACTTAACCACTCGGCCAACTCCTCAGGGATCCACAAAACATTGTAAGGAAAATCCTAAAGCATGTGCTAGGAACATTAACTGTCAGTAGTCATAGAGCTGAGGATTAGAGAGTTCTACTTATTCTGTTCTCATTGACATTGTTGATTATAGAGGTAAAAAGGAAACAACCGCCAATGTACACACTACACGTTATAATAACGATTATTTCTCTCTTTTTAGTTGGATAAGTGAGCAAATTTCATTCCACAGAAGGTCAAGCAGACCAGCCCACTCCTGCAACCTATTGGCTCAAAATGGAGAATGCATACACAGCTATTGAGACAGAACCCCCGCAATTACAGCAAAACCAATTTGTAGTATTTTGCAAGAACTAAGCATTGTATTCGTCAATCCAAATAGAAAAAAGGAAAAAAGATGTCTAGCGTTTAAAAGAACGAGTTTACAGTGGAATCCGCTTTCAAAGAACTATTTTGGTGCAAATGGCAGATGATATTTACAACGAATCTACAGCAATCTTCAGTATATTAAGACATAACAAAACACTTTCCCTTCTGTGCTGTGCTTCAGTTGGCAGTGGGAATTCAAAAGCGCATCGCAAACAAGACATTGTTGTTTGAAGACCAGATTACCCTGTATGCTGAGAGGCTTTGTCTGAAACTCATGCAAAGCATTTCGCAAATAGCAACTGAGAGAACCTATTCATTGCTAGAGTCCAGATGACTTGGTCTGATCAAGAAGTGGAAGGGTCGAAACTCCTCCTACTACAGCCTGAAAAGTAGGCCATAACCAGTCATTTTCCTTCGCCAACAGCGCCGAAACTCTGGCCCTGCGATGGACCGTTCGAGACATATACGACTTTATGAGAATACTTGTCAGAAAGAGGACCGTAGGGAATCATGAACCCATGAGAATGTGTCAGCACCAATTGCCAATTTTGTGCTTAATACAAGGCTTCAACACAGATAGAGCAGCCTCGACATTGTCTTCCAAGCATAAGTCTAATTAGCATGGAGCTTCGTGGACCAAAGACTCTTGTCAAACGCACTCGTTAACACGACCATTCTAAACGCTGGGTTTTTTCCCGACATCGAAGAGTAATTGATCTACAGTAACCAATTCATAGGGCGAAAGTCTAATTACGAGTGTATACGCACAAGTAACCAATTCCTTATGTAAAATCTAATCATCCATTATATCTTGAACAATTACAAGTATTCTTTTGCATTTTCAAAATGAGAAGGCTCGATTCATCCGGTCAGATGATATCACACAGATCAATATTTCGCAAAAATGAATTAGCCGCTGGTTTTTAATCTTGCCGGTTTTTCTTTCTAGAACAAGAGATGATTCATCAGAAGGCCTCCAAAAGAGAACCCATTTTATGTAAATAATGTTTTCTTTTATCTTGTGGTACAAGCAAACGCCTTTGAGCTGCAACCCTCTTGTAAGTGCCGCTAGGATACCCTAAAGATCACATTCATAAAGGAGCAGGCCCAAAAATGAAAAAGAAGAGAGAAGAAAGCCATGGAAGCATCTGATTCCATAAGCTTGTGAAGGAGATGTACGTGGAGCTTAGCTTATTGGGAGGAAAAGGAGAAGAAGAAAAAGAAAGTGGGCTCTGTATCTTTGCCAAACCACTGAAAAGAAATTCTCCAGATGGCTCACTGTCTGGCCGAATATGTTCCATAAGAATATATCCATGATCTTCTCAATCCACTTTCTCTTTGTTTGCCCTTTTCAAAATTGGAGTTCTTTCTTTAGCCAAAAAGAAAAACTACAGTTTTAATCAATGCTTTTGGACTTCTGCACTAGGATCTTCTCCTTTCTGTCTTCTTTTGGCTTCTTTAGTATAATGAGAGAACAAGGGCAAAGGTAGTAGTTCTTAGACTTATAATTGCTATTCAGTGGGGGGGTTAGGACTATTTGCTGTTCGGTTGAAAAGTAAGACTCACACCGAATCACACAACATTATTAATCGATGTGGTTTGCCACCTTAGCCGCGGCTTGGGCCCTACGTGGGTACTTTATCAGGATGAGCAATAGGATTTTCGACTACCCCCACGAGGAAAGAGATAAATAGAAGCCTTACGCTCTGAAGCAGAAGGCCAAATCTTCATTTTAGTTGACTGGCTCTCTCTTTGCTCAATCCCCCAAGACATGAAGGAAATACACAGCCTCTATGCATCCCAAGCTTCGACTTCCACAACCACCATAATGGACAAATCCTCCTCTGTCGGACTCGGAGGCCGAGCCATCGACCGCCACAACCCAATCATCACTGATTGTAGGAGACTGACCTCCAAACAATCGCCCGCTTCCGCAGCACATGCGGCTTCTCATGATCCACCAATTCAACTGAAACCGGACCACCATCAACTTCAGAACATCAGCAAGAAAGGCTCTTCCAAGCCAACTCCTCGTGATCAAAGCAAGATGCTCTCTCCAAAGTCGAGTGAAGGCCGAAAAGATTTCATCAAGGACTCATCTTTGAAACAGAAGAATGTTATCAAAAAGACAATTGCCCTTCCCGGTGACCTTTGGACCCCTCCTAGTTCCTCCAGATATCTGTTAAGTGACACCGTTTTAATCAACGACGACTCGGTTTTAACTTCGGTTTTGGATGAGCACAAGAAGAGCCAGCCTTTGGATCGGTTTGACGGATTTGTCAATTCCAATCCCTCGTCCTCTTCTCACTCAAAACCCACTTCAGACCAGGCAATCTCTCTCTCTCTCTCTCTCTCTCTCTCTCTCTCTGAACAAACATTTCCTAGAGATATGACGTATTTAAATGACAAAAATGCAGTGGAAACAAGCTTTAAGCATAATTGATGAGCAAGACCATCGTTCCTCCTTGTCATACTATGCTAGGACAATGTCGACCAATCATAATCCATCGTATCCACACATTAAATGGATTGTTAAGGTTCACTTAAGAGCACAGCTTAGAAACTTAAGAATTGTATTCCCTTACACGAAGTACCGATGAGAGGTGTGATGATCTACAATTGCAGGTTGTCGTATTGAGGGTCTCGCTGCACTGTCGAGGGTGCGAAGGAAAAGTTAGAAAACATCTGTCCAAGATGGCCGGTAAGAGCACGCACAATCACTCCTTTCCAAATTTTTGACGAACACGCCGTGCATCATAGTTCTCTTATCAAGTCATTCTAATGAAATTGATTGAAAGCTGCTCTGTGTGACGGAATTTTGCAGGAGTAACATCCTTCAACATAGATTCTGCAGCAAAGAAAGTAACGGTGGTAGGAGATGTCACGCCATTGAGTGTCCTGGCAAGTGTTTCCAAGGTGAAAACCGCCAGGTTCTGGCCATTCGCCCCAGCAGTTTCCTCAGCCAGTGGATCGGACGGCAAAATCTGACTCCTTCAGGAAATAACGGTGTTCCTACGTCGTAAATTGCACACAAAACCTACTTTGTATATTGCGCTTAGCATAATGGACTTGCCCTGTCTTTTCTCGATAAAAGTCATCGAAAGCATCACTCAGTTCCGCTGTTCCGAAAATCAATTGACGTTTAATTCGACTCGGGTTTGCACCAAGAGACCGACCCAACCTGGTTCTAAAATTGATTTTCCTGGCTCAAAACCAAACCAATCCGAAAATTTCTTCAGATAAAAACCATGCTGAAACATTTCATTTGCTTATCCGTGGTCAAATTAAGTGATTCCGTTGTGCTTTATTTCAGTCAATCATGTAATATGCTCTCTATTTACGCAACCGCTCTTCTGCTGGCTTCGTCAACGCCGCATCTAAACATTCATTTCTGATCCCTCGAGCATCTCTTCAAACATTCCATTCCCTCTTAATCACGGCTTTTCATCTGTAGAGCCCCTCCCAAGTTACTTCACTAAACAACAGGAGAAATCTTTTTACATGCTATGCATCTGCTTATTTAAGGTCAGTCCTATTCCAACCAAAACAGGAATAGATATGGGGCAAATCTACAACTAATTTTCAAGGCCTGTCCAATTTTGAGAATATTCGAAATAAGCAGTTGCTCACGGGTTAAGAACTTACAAATTTTGTTCACTTTATTATGGCACGGAATGATAGCTTGATCTGCATACACGGAAGTTCCTAAGCTGATGAAAGTTCTCTACATAGACAGTACTTCAGCTACTAGATCATCTATCAATAACCTCTCGACTTCCCTACCTATTACATCTATATCATCTCCTAAGTTCAACCATGGTGATTCCCTCGCTAAGAACTTATCAAGCACTCCTTTGCTGCCCTTCTTCCCTTGGCCTGTCAGAATTCGGATCAGACCATCCTGGAGCGAGTCTTTATCCCACTTAAAATCCAACTTTGCTGCCACCGGATGGACCCATGGGTGCGTATCCATGAGTTGCTGGTAAATTTCCACGAGAGCCGAATTAACGCGGTCAAAGAGTAGCTTCCTTGCAGACCTTGAGGAGCTTTCGTCGCAGTACCTTTTCTCCAGCTCTTCAAACACCAGCGGATTCACGGGGCACTCAGGAGAGTGCCACTTTGCAATGAACATTTCGGGATCAGAATTGTCGTAACCTGAGCCTATTAAGACATTGGTAATATAGGAAGATTCCCAGCTCTCTCCAGTTCTGTACAGTCCTCTTTCTTCTGAGAAATGCATCAATCCTTCCCCAGCATCTTCATCACTAGAGATTAGCATTGATCCCTCAGTACATGCTTGAGATTCCAGTTTGAGTAGTTGCAGTTGCATGCGAAGCCCTTGAAAAGAGTAAGACAATGGGAAGGAAATAAGTACAGTTGAAGTTAAAAAGAAGTCTAGTAATTTCTTAAATTCTTTGATGGTTAAGACCTGTAATTGTTCTCCAGCATTTTAGCATTATAGCTGATAGCCGGAGTAAATATATTTGCTTGGAATTACAGAAGTAGCAAAACCAGGAAAAGTACAATGCTGATCTCAAATGTCAATCTACCATTAAAAGCTTGGGGCTAAAGCAGTGGTGCATTTCTACCAATCCAGCGACTCAAAAATTTATCAAATGGAAGCAACTGAAAGATAAATGATTTGAAATTGGAAAAAGTAGATAGCATCATAAACTACTCAAACTCTAAAATCAGTTTTACTTCTTGTGGTTGCCAACCACAACTACTGCTGTCACGCCATCATGACAGCCTCTAAATAGGGTGCAAAATAAAAAGAGAAATGCAACATATTTCTCAGCTAAAAAGTCCTACTCTCATAGGTAAGAATGACTTGTGAAATTTCATCAGTACCAAGAACAGGCGAAGAACTAGTGGCTGTTTGATTACCATGAAGGTCAGCGCTCAGACTCTCAAAGCATTCCGAACCCGATGAGAGGTCGTCCTTAAAAGGAGCTTCCAAAATAGAAACTGGGCTGGGTTGATCTGCCTCCTTCGAACTTGCAGAAGATTCAGATTCAGGTACTGTATGAATTACAGGTTCTGGACTCCCTCTAGATGGATTGATAGATGGATCCTGGAACAATGAGAGATAACGAGTGTAATGATGATCCAAACCACCCTACCGCACTTTTCACGAGCAGAAAATGCATGCATGGACAGCATTTGCAAAGCATGAGTGTTCTGACTGATACTTCGGTCTTAAATCAGAATATATAAGTTAGGGTTTCAGAAAGAAAACTGATACTCATTTTAAAGAACCTATATCTACATCAGAAAGATAAAAGGTGAACACCAAAATTCTCCAGCTAAATAAGCGCTTCTCTTATTTATGACCACGAAGCCCACTGAAGAGATAAACCTCAGTTTATGAAATACCCCAGCATTATGCAGCAAACTTGCTAATTCTCCACACGCAATAATACAAATAAACATTTGTGGGTGAATGCCCACAGGCACGAAGACTCCATGTACAGGAAAATCCAGGAAGATGTATATTCTTCGATGGATATATAACAGAAGAAATTGATGAGACATGCAACAGAAAGTAGAATAACTACATTTCACATATCACAAAACGCATTTCTAGGAATGTACCCTCCAAAAAAGTATCCTTACACAAGAAATGAACTATTGATCATACCTGGACATCATCTACATATGAGACAGCAGAGCTAACTTTAGTCGATGGATGCTCTGGATTTGAAGGTTCGGAAAGCGAGATTACCATCTTTGACCCCATATTGGCAACACCGCCATGAACCACACCCCCAAATGCCTCAGAATCAAGGCTCTGTTCAGGCTGATCGATCTCATTGAGGCTACTTCTCCTTTTATGCTGAGTCATATGATACTCTGATGAAGTATCACTGCTCTCACCACTGCTGCAGCGAAGAGGATGACGTTCAATATGTTTAGATGTGAACTTTCTGTTGACAAAACTATCTCTGACATCGAAATTTTCCTTCACAGTCTTAATCTTGTCCCGTCTCACCATCTCTCTAGCCATACAGTGCCTAGAATCAGAAGGTGCTTGACTTTTAGGACTGCCAAAGACAGCAGATGAAGCAGGAAGAGATCTAGATCTTGATAGCTTATTCACACACACATCCTTCCACCCATCTCTGCTGCTGATGCCCAAAGGTTCAACACAGCTCGCAGGTGCATCGTCTCCAGTAAACTCCGTTTTGAATCTTTCTTGGACAATTTTTCGACCTGAATCTGCACTCCTCGCTCGCCCATCAGGAATAGCAAGCATTTCAGCCAGCGTACTACCTCTGCTAATTTCTCCAATCTCTTGAGACCTGTGAGTCAATTTCCACCTCTCTGAGAGTCTCTTTTTTGCCTCCCTACTCACAGATGACTCAGTAGAAGATGATGCATGTTTATATCGGCTTTTACAGTTAACAGACTTTGTATTCGTCAATGCAGTCACGTTCGTCAATGCAGTCGTATCTGAATCATATGCAGAGTCGCTCAGAGACATGGTAGATGAGCTATCATCTCCAGCATAGCCCCGTGATTGGACAGGCGCTATATAGATCGAACCAGAACCATAACTGCTCCGCATTTTCCGAGTAATTCTTCTGGCAATTTCTCGTGAGTCTTTGGACTTAAGCTCCGTATCCACGGGACAAAAATGGGTTTTCTTTCCTGACGGATATTTATCTTTATTCCTATAACTTGGACACTCCGGGTGAGTCCTCGCGTCAGGAGAAAACGAAAGTGAAGTCGGAGACAGGCTATTTTTGGTAGCACCATGTGCCTTCCCAAGGTTTGGCTTTAAAACAACAATCTGGGTAGGAAGAATATCCGAGAGCACTTGCCCCTCTAATTTAGACGACTTGAGAGTATTATGAGCTGTACTGCTGGGTGGATTACCAATAAACTTGTCGAGATAAATCTTCGGCGATCTGCCACATTTTCTCGGGAGATTCTCTCTCCCCGTTTTTGAATCTATACTCCTGGTTCTTTCTGGAACTTTTGAAGCCGTCATTGAACCGAAATGTGATTGGAACTGGGGACCTTGAAGATCATGCAGATGCTTTGTGAACAATGGATCTGGTTGCTGCAGAAATTTGACAAGGAGATCTTTGTTTGAGTCCAGTATCTCTAGAGCATCATCAAGCTCCTTCGAATCCTGGAGCTTATCATCAGTCGAAAGACGTTTCGCATCAACGAATTTCTGGCGAATAAATTCCATTTCAGCTTCAGTCATGGCAGACTTCACAGTCCCTTTTGGTAAGTAGCTATTAGCCTGTAACTTTGACATTTCGGAAACTTCAAACACGTCTTTAAATTCTTGCTCCTCCTTCGAGCTTTTCCTAGACGATCGGCGGCTGGAACACGCGCTACTCCTTTCGGCTTTCTCTACTTTTCTCCCGGACTGATGATCGTTCAAATATCTCTTCTGTTGTTTATGACCAGGCTGCTGAAGTGGCAAGCCTTCAAAACCCATTAATCTTGCAATGACACTAGGTGGCTGTCTCTTGGATCCACTTTCTCGCAACATCTCATTGGCTAATAATTTCTTCATAGGAGTACCAGAAGTGGTGGCAGCTTTTTTGCTAGATCTCAAACGTAAATCCAGCATGATCTACAAAGCCAAGTAAATCCGGTAAGAACAGCTATTTTACGATATATGACGCATGCCGATATGAATACGGCACTTCACCTCGACAATGACTTAGATAGAACACACAAATACGGTCAGAAATTTTGTTGTTCCTGAGATTCCCGTTCAAAATAATTATACCAAGAACAAGCAAGGTAGCCAACTCACCAAGTCTTCGCCTGAAGTATCACTACTTTCGGAGCTAGATTCAGAGGCCAATATACCAAAGTTTCTCGGTCTTCGAAACTGCCGGTTTCCTGGAATGAAGCCGTATAACATCAGAAATTACTAATTCAAGGTTGACAAATCAGTGAGTTAAGCTTGGGAGCAGAGAGCCATGCCTAAAGATTACCAATCAGAGCGCAGAGTATGAGCAACAGCGAAAGTGATACCCTTTACTATTCGGCCCAACATGGAAAGAATAGAGGGAACGATACCGAAGGTATATGATGAAGGAAAGAAATATAAAAAAGAAAATCCCAGAAGAGTATGATGAGATGAAAGAGAAAAGAAGCACTCGGCAATTATTAGTCAAACCAATGCAATTATTTCTCAGCAAACCCGGAGCTCTCTCCACGAAAAGCAAAGCAAAATCATGGCGCGGCACGAGAGAAAAGCGAGATATCTGCTAAAACAACCAAACTCAAACAGTGATGGACAAGCGAAGCCGAAGCTCGGAAATGAAGCAGGCTCAAGCTCAATTCCGGCGTCACGCAAATCACCCAAAGAGATTGCAAAATCGCGCACAAAACAGAAGTAGAACGCAAAAGGATCGCTCCGGTAAGAAGCAGGTGAGCTCCGCCTTTCAACTCCGTGAGCGCATTTCAGGAAAGAACAGGCCACGAAACGAGCATTAAGTTCCCCGTTCGAGCTCCGTCGCTGTCTCAGCAGCCAAACAGATCGCGGAGAACTTCCTCCCGCAGCAGGAGCGAAACGCAACCACGGTTCGCAGCAGGAGAGGGGGGGCAAAACGGAAGGACGATCCGCATTTCAGCACCGGCGCAAGCCTCGTCCCAACCGTTTTTTTCTCCTCAGCTACTCGCCGACTCATCGGCTTCCCATCAACAGTCGCCGGAGCCAAAACACGACGACAGAGCCGCCCGAACAACAGACGGCCACACAGAGAGAGAGGGAGGAGAGAGGCTGACCTCCGCGCGACGAGACCGAGTGGCCGGAGCTCCGATCAGCGACGCAGACCTTGGACCTCCTGCGGCGAAATGCTGCGGCCTCCATCGACGCTCATCGGGGTGAAGAAGCCAAAAGAGGAGGCGCGAGCTGTGTCCCTCAGCGCCCGAGCCCGTGCAGGTCGAGAATCCGAGAGCGCGTTTCACGGACTAAAGCGCACTCTCCCGCTAGATAGAGAGAGAGAGAGAGAGACGTACGAGAGCGCTAACTTTGCGGGAGCAGAGCATTCGGGTGCGAGGGGGCAAAAGGTTTTGTTGTTTCCTCTCGCTCGCCGAAGGGATTTTCAAAAAAAAAAAGACCAGATCTACGAATCGAACAGAGGAAAAGGGCGAGCTGAGGTGAGGGAGAAGCGCCTTTTGGGTGCAGTGACGGGAGAGAGAGGGAAAGAAAAAAGGTGGAACGGAAGCGAGGACGAAAATGAAGTTGAAGAGGGGAGGGACCGCGGAGGGAAGGGGAGGGACCGGACCGAACCGGACGAGCTGGCGGGCCGGACCGGTCCGACCGGAATCGGTTGGGCCGGCCGCGCGTGCGCGTGATTTTTTTGAACTTTCAAAAATTAACCGAATGGGACTGACGGGACCTGGGCGAGCGTCTCCGTGCGCGCGGGGGGCGATGCAATGGAAGGTGGCATGTGTGCTTCCTTGCGGTACGGGGGATTCACCCGTGCGATGGGACACGTGGCGAGCGGAATGCGGAGCCACGTGGGTTCCTGCTTGTTTGTTGCGTCTCAGGAGATGATTTCCCGACGCAAAAATATTTGGAATTTATTTAAACAGGTCAAGATGTGTTGATGGGCAGAACTAAAACAAACAGAACCACTGATATAACTAAAATTACCTTGGGGTGGGTTATATATCATGAAAGTAAAAGGAGCAAAAGTAAAATTCGGAATATCACCGAAATCTCGAGAAATTGTAGAAAAGTTGTATGTGAATTTTTGCGCCAAAATTTATATATCATGAAAGTTTGGGGTATGATGAAATAAGAAAAAATAAAAATATGTTTGCCGCGAAAGCAAAAGGTAAAAAATTGGAAAACTATCTATACGTTCCTTAATTTTGTAGAGCAAAAGTTTGGTCAATTGATAATGATTTATGTTTTTATACAAACCGTGTAATTTTAAATTAAAAATTTATAAATTCGCGAGTATACTATCGTGCCTTGAGAATTAGAAGATTGTAGAAACGGTATAAGGAATCGAGAGAGAAATATGAAAGTATTTACTCAAGTCAAGTTCTTTCCCTTCCATTATGCTGTACGTTTTTTTTTTTCCGTCAAGATTAATAAAAGTAGGGTATTTTCTATTGCGCAAGCTGCCTTTAACCATCCATTAAAAGACTGATACTTGAGCACGGTGCATTATAAATCCACCCTAAATGTATAAATTATCTACTCAGTATGGATACGGAGCTGCTATAGTCGTGTTGCATTGTAGCTTTACCCCGCGAAGTGTTCTAACTCATGTGTTTGGTAATATATGTTTTAAAGCCGCAGCAGTTTAAATTCGAATGAAACAACCCTCTAGAAAGCATTATAAATTGTAACAGTTTTGAGCGAGCTACGACCGTGGTCTATCGACCGCGTTATAGAAGTCGCGGGACCTGTTTTTATAGTTACGGCCGGTGCTAGGAACCTTTAGCAAACGAGCTCTAGGCATACTTCTCACCGATTATAAATTGACGCAAAGTCCGGCAAAAGTATAAAAGTGTGGCCATCTCTCTTCCTACCTTTATATTTCCGGTACACATTGCTTCGTTTTATTGACGGACAATTTAGTTGGGCATAAAAGTTCAAGCATGTTTATCATGCCTCGGGCGGATGTACTCGCTAGGGACACTATAGCATAGAAGTGGCTCCACCAGGACGTAGCCAACAAGCCACCCTAGCTAGACTTGCTGAACAGTACGTGCTGCAAACAGTGAAATCTACAGGATCAGTTGACGATAATCCCGAGAAAGTAGCTCCATAACCACCAAGTAATCCGACGACGGCGACGCTAATGTTCACTGATCCAACTTCAATCCCACGCAATAAAATAAAGATGGGTGGCTCCAATTTGTCAACAAGCCTAGGAATCATCGGCCTAAGCATGGCTGGTTTTTCTTGGACTATCTATGTAGGTGGTGACGCTGCAGACACAGAGGAAGCAGAATATAAAAAGAGGGTGTTTTTTCCTTTGGGGTTACGTTAACGAGCGAGCAAAGATGTCATGGTCTTGCTTCGTTGCTTGGAATCTGTAAGGCGAGTTGAATGGGGTCAGATGAGACAAGGACACGGACCAAAACATAAAGCAGCAGAATCTTTGCTTAGATAAGGCTTAATTTTGGCCTTTAGGTAGGTACAGGTTGTAAAAAAACAGGGGAAGTTCTTCTGCGTTTGTTTGTATTTGTCGCGGTCCTTGTTTTGTTTCCGGGAGGAAACAGCCGGGGCAGAAGTTGGATTTGAATTGAAATATGGTCGAGCAGGATTCGCTTGGAGGCGGTTGCCGTTGGTCTACTACTGTGCTAGATGTCAAGAAAGCTCTCGATATAAATACGAAGCAATAATACTCAGCATGTGAGCTGATCAAAGATTCGCTCGCAACGTGACATGAATTTGTAATGTAATATGAGATTACACGACCCATTAACGTTCGGTAGTGTTGTGCAAATGAAGTTTGTGTTTAACTTCAATATTAAGAATACAATTCAATCCCCATATGTGCACTTCATTGAGCTTTCTCACGGCGTAACTTTACCTTGTCACCTATCACTTTTTGAGTGAATAACTAATCGTGTCTTATTCACTTCAAATCTATCAATTTTTTTAAAGGATCTTATTAGCGAGTGCTTGTAGGATATTTGTTAAGTATACTTTATAAAGAAAAAAATTCGATTCTCAGTATATGTACTATAAACTTCACAGCCAAAAAAAAAATTGATAAGTTGAAAATATAGACCACCATAACTTCATGGGCCAGGTGAGAAGTGAATTAAGCTTCGAATGGTATTATAACTATTGCATTACTTGCAATTGATGATTGAGGAATTGAACCACGTGAAATCACGCGTCTAATCCACAAACACAAATTTATTCCTTCATCCATATGCCAGACTCATGGAGTTTGAGTTGTTTTCATTCTACTTGCTCAAGTTAATTGGCCTCTCAACAAGGCACCCGATTGATGTCACAATGCATTTACGTTAAAACTTCAAAGTTAGCTCATAAACGCGAAAATGTGCTACATTTCACCGGTGCAAGTCAAAAAAAAAAGAAAAACGATGAATCTCGTTGACAAGGGCCGTGACCAAAATTAGAAATAGCCCTTTTTCGAGACACTTTGAAAAGCACGAGAGTTGGATCCTCAAACTAAGCGGGGGCACCCATCAACAAGCCGAAGATGATCGAGTTAGCTTGATGACTTGGTTACTTGTGGGGTTGGTCCAAAGGTTACTTAAAAGATACCTAGACACGTAACGATTTGCTCAAATTCTTCGACAACCTTCTACTCCACTCTCAATTGCTCATTAGTAAAGATAAAGCGACTCAAGAGGAAAGAACCCGAGGCTCACTTTGGGCACTGAGCCCCTCTTCTGGGGAAAAGTGCCAAAAAAGTCCTAAACCTTTTGCATTAATGTCAATTTAGTCTTAAACCTTTTTTTGGTGCCAATTCAGTCCTAAACCTTTTGTATTGGTACCAATTTAGTCCTAAACCTTTTTTGGTGCCAATTCGAGTCCTAAACCTTTTAAATTGGTGCCAATTCGGTCATAAACCTTTTGTTTTTGTGCCAATTTAATCCTTAGGCCAATTTTGACCCGAATTTGCCGACGTGGACGCCTGCCGGCCAGCGGCCGGTCACTGGCGCTGACGTGGCGCCGACGTGGACAATTTTAATATTATTTTGAATTTTTATTTTTTTCCTTTTTTTCTTTTTTTTTCCTTTTTTTTTTGGTCTCTCCCTCCTCTCTCTGGTCAGAGGCCGGCGAGCTCGACCTCGCCGGCCACTGGCGAGGGCAGCCTCGCCCGGCGAGGGCGAGCCTCGCCTTGGTCGGGCGAGGCTCGACCTCCCCAGATCCGGCGAGGTCGGGCCTCGCTCGACCATGGCGAGGCTCGAGCCCTCGCCGGAGGCCACGGCGAGGTCGAGCCTCGCCCAGCGACCTCGCCAGATCCGGCGAGGTCGGGCCTCGCCCGACCATGGCGAGGCTCGCCCTCGCCGCGGCCTCCGGCGAGGGCTCGAGCCTCGCCGAATCCGGCGAGGTCGGCGGGCGAGGCTCGACCTCCCAAATCGGGCGAGGTCGAGCCTCGCCCGACCATGGCGAGGCTCGCCCTCGTCGCGACCTCCGGCGAGGGTCGAGCCTCGCCTTGGTCGGGCAAGGCTCGACCTCCCAAATCCGGCGAGGTCGGGCCTCGCCCGACGATGGCGAGGCTCAAGCCCTCGCCGCGGCCTCCGGCGAGGGCTTGAGCCTTGCCATGGTCGGGCAAGGCCCGACCTCGCCGGATCCTGGGAGGTTGAGCCTCATCCAGACCAAGGCGAGGCTCGACCTCGCCGGCCTCTGGCCTCTGGCCGGTCGCCGGACCGGCGACCGGCCAGAGGGAGGAGGGAGAGACCAAAAAAAAAAATTTGGAAAAAAAAAAGAAAAAAAGGAAAAAAAATAAAAATTCAAAAAAATATTAAAGTTGTCCACGTCGGCTCCACGTCAGCGCCGGTGACCAGCCGGCAGGCGTCCACGTCGGCAAATTCGATCAAAATTGGCGAAGGACTAAATTGGCACAAAAACAAAAGGTTTAGGACTAAATTGGCACCAATTTAAAAGGTTTAGAATTAGGATTAGAATTTAAAGCACCAAAAAAGTTTTAGGACTGAATTGGCACAAAAAAAAGGTTTATGACTAAATTGGCACTAATACAAAAGGTTTAGAACTTTTTTGGCACTTTTTCCCCCTCTTCTCTTCTGGGTGCCCCAAAATAGCAAATAAATAAATAAACAAAAAAATTCCTCAAAAAATTCCCAAAAAGAATTTCTCTCTCTCTCTCAATCTCTCCGGTGTTCGACTCTAGTCCAAAGAGAAAGTATTCGGTGATTAAGTAGCACCACGTGATAGATAAGCTGACGTAGCATGCATTCTTGTACCGAAATCCAATCAATAATTGATATGTGTCCATGATGTGGTAAGTAAATAAAAAAATTAAAATGAACATTCGTTTTTCAAGAGACACT